AGCAATAGGGAAAGTAGAGAAGTGGTGATTCAAGTGGGGATTTAAAATATCAACAAGTAAATCCTGTTATATGGTGTTCACAAACAAGCGAAAGTGTCATGTAGAAAAGCTTTTACTATATCAGCAGCCAATGGAAAAAGTAAATGAATTTAAGTATTTGGGATTGTGGTTTGATAGTAAGTACACATGGAAAACACACATAAAGCAATTGGGAACTAAATACAAACAAGTCATTAATTTACTGAGTGCGGTGGCGGGATGTGACTGGGGTGCAGATAAACAGTCACTAATTGACATATATAGAGCATGCATGAGGTCATCAATAGATTATGGTTGCATAGTATATGATGCAGCAGCAAAAACAACATTGGAAAAAATTTATAAATTACAATACAGAGCTTTACGATTATGCATTGGAGCCAGTAGGACAACTCCCATTAACACAATACTCATAGAAGCTGGAGAGACACCACTGGAGTTAAGAAGAGAGAAACTACCGCTAGCATATTGGGTCAGATTGAAAGGAACTGGGAAAGAAAATCCTGCAAAGGAGATAACAAAGGATTGTTGGGAATATTTCAAGTTTCGGGGTCATGGGTTTGGATGGACGGGGGAAAAGAGAGTCAGGGAATACAGAATGGAAGCATTAGATTTCACCACACCCAATCCAGTCAGTAACATTCCACCTTGGCTCTATCCAGACGTAAAAACAGATTTTAGTATACTGAAAAAGAAAAGAGGATGGAGAAAAGAGGAAGTGGGAATACGGAAAAGCAGCTATCTGAGAAACAGTTACCATAATTATCTAAAAATCTATACAGATGGATCTAAAAACAAACAGGAATGTGTGGGAATTGGAATAAATATACCAGAATTCAAAACAAATATCTCAAAACGATTATCAGATAGGCTATCCATATATACAGCAGAAATAGTGGCAGTCATCATAGCATTACAGTGGGTTGAAGAGGTCAGACCTGATGGGGTGATATTATGCACAGACTCCTTAGAAGTTATTAAAAGCATTCAGTCAATGACATCTGTCAGGGAAGACCTATTGATAGAAATGTTTCACAGCTTGTTAAGATTACATCGGGGAGGGATAGATGTTCAGTTTTGCTGGGTGCCAGCTCATGAGGTAGTAAATGGAAATGAGATTGAAGACAAACTAGCAAAAGAGGCATTATAAAAGGAAATAACAGTTCAAATACCGCCAGGAAAAGGAGAAAGAAAAACAGCCATTAAGAAGAAAGGTACTGAAATATGGCAGAAATGGTGGGAGGAAGACAGGAAAGGAAGGAGTTACTATAAAATACAAAAGTCTGTCAGTACTGAAAATTATAGCGAAAGGACCAGGCGGGAGGAAATTATAATGACAAGACTGAGAGTAGATCACACAGGACTGAATGGCACCTTGTTTTTATTGGGGAAAAGGAATAGTGAAAACTGTGGGGTTAAAGAAAATGTTGAACATATCATTTTGCACTGCATATTGTTTGAGTTGGAACGACAGATATTTCAAGATAGGGTTCAGGAAGCAGGGCGGGAATGGAATCTGATGGGGGTGTTGGGAACAGAAGGAGAAGAAAAGGGTATAAGAATCACCAGGAAGGCATTATTTAAATTTCTTAAAGACACTGGGTTGGTGAACAGGCGGCTTGCGCCGGGAGGCTGGACCCCGTTTACAACTGCTTGCAGTTCTAGTATTTAACTTATATCTGTTGTAATCTGTTTTAATAAATCTGTCCTCTCAATAGTACCTGAGCGCTGAGTTTCCTCGAGCTTGAAAGACATTTTGGCAAGATGTAACCTGAAATAGTGTTGATGCATGGCTGAATGTTTCATTTTATTAGTGGTGAACTCAATAAACACCTCAGCCCTTCAATTGCAGACACAAGTTGCCTCATCTGAAGTGACTGTAATATGTATTTGTAAAGGAATATTTTTCTACTGCGATAATGAAAGTTGGTGAGGAATATTCAGTTTTTATTTAAATTAAATATTGTTGGCCCTGCGATGGACTGGCGACCTGTCCAGGGTGTACCCCGCCTTTCGCCCAATGTAAATTGGGATTGGCTCCAGCCCCCCGCGACCCTGTATGCAGGATAAGCGGTTGCTGATGGATGGATTATTACTGGTTAATTTTGGCAGATGTAGTTTGTGGTCTGGTAAACTGTATTGCGATATAAACAGCTAAGTCTCTTTTATTTAGCATGGCCTCACTGATATAAATGGGATAGACAAAATATCAGAAACATGCAACAAAAACTGAACATTATCATTTTTATGAAGGGAGGATTTATTGCAGAAATGTTGGATTAGCCTGCATTAAATTTAGATAGATGTACCAAATAAATTGGTAACTAAGTCTTGAAGACTAAATACATTTATCACAACAATAAACTCCATGCCCATATCACATGTTTGTGAGAAGTGATTACATGGCCTTTATTTTGTAAACTAATCAAAAGCTATCCAAGGTATGTTAGCAATTTGCATATTTCTGCGTCAATTGCCGGCTTGCTAATCAGACATACTGAGGATATAAAAAATACCACATTGCTAGAACTGGAGCCAGCAACATTTCACAGTGGATGACATTTTAACATGAAAGAAGATATTTTAGCCCTGACTTGAGACATAGGAGGGATATTGTACTGTTTTTGTCGAGCTGTGACTGAGATTTGATAATGAATATGTATATTTAGCAATTTAAAATTCTCATAGATTTGCCTATGAGTCTAGTTTTAAAGATATTTGATTGGCTAACTCAATTCTTAGCCACATAATCTTTCATTTTGATGCAGCAAACCCTAAGTTAGGTTAAAGAAATTTGCAAGATGACCCTGCATTTTCTTTTCTTGTCAATGCAGTGGTCCATGGAAAAAAATATTATTTTTCCCATATAGCCAGCCATCCTGCTTAAAACAAGTAATTGAAGCATTATGTTTTTCTGTCAAGGCCCAAGTTGGAAACCATTAATCTGCATACATTAGTGTGTTTGCAGGTATTTGCTGAGTTCATCACTTTACAAATGTTGAACCTATGCAACCAATTCTACTGCTAGCTTGAGAGATACACACCACAACTGATTGCCCTGTACAGGCAGAAGGCCAAGAGAGCAGAGGCCCTGCAGAGATCCTCAGGATTTATGACCTGCCGTAGCAACAATGTTGATCACATAATGGTTGGTCAATACAGATTAGGACCTCTGTACTATAATAGTGAAATTTTATTATGATATTGTCTTGTGATGACTAGGAGGATAGAGCCATCTACTTTCAATTTTCATTTCTCATTTGAATTTATTTTTCTGGTACATGATTACTTTAAAAGCCATTTACAAGCTTATTTTTAAATTCTTAGGCTGCCCTGAACACATAACCCAAGACAGAAAATCTTCAATTTTGCTCAGATTTTATGTGCTGAGCATGACTTTTTATTTTTCTATCCGACCAAGAGACCAACTCCATCCATGATCTGTTGCCATACGGTCTACTGACATTTGCAGAGACACAAACAGAGAGAGACGTATTATACGTATTATATGTATGTATTGTACTATAGGCCTTCTCCACAAACAGCTCACCTGCGGTTGTTACCACAGAATCGTGGGTGAAAAAGTTCAAAACGCGAGCTGTGTTTTTCAGGCAGTAAAACATACGGCTGACAATGAAAGTTGAAAGCGGGCAGATAGCAGCCTGTCTGTTGCTGTATTATACAGCAAGAGAGAAACTGAAAAGGGCAGTGCAAGCTGGTGTGTGTGCAGCGTTGTGCGGGACAGAACTGTAGATGCTTGTGCGAATCTCCACATCCTAAAATTGAAAACCAACCCAATGAAGGAATAGTCGAATATTTGGGTCCAGCCCTAGTGCACTAGCTTCCAAATCTCTTCTATTGTCATGTTTAAGGTTATAGTTAGCTTCTATTTCTCACCTATTGTTTGAGTCACTGTGTTTGTTAAAATTCGACTTGTCTTTTAGTAGTTGCAGTTTGATGGATTTGTTGTTATTGCTATCAATATTAATATTATTTTAGAATTACATTGGTAGAACTGTTACACTTTATGGCTTGATGTGCTGTAAAAACATTTGTATAATAATAATTATTTTGATTGTCGATCTAGGCACAACAAAAGGTACACATGAGATGCCATCCGACCCCCGTGGCCTCCCAGTGAACCTGCTAGAGGATGACTGACGTCTTCAAAACCAGCAATGTAAGTACTCAGTGTACTCACGGAAATGTCAGTATCAACGACAAGCAATATTAGGGCTGTCCCTGACTAAGGATTTACATAGTCGAATCAGAATCGTCAAGTCCTGCCTATAGTCGACTAATAGTCGAATCATGTGTGTTTAGCTCTGCTTTAATCTTGAGAAGCTGCAGTCTCTATTCATTCAACTTAGACTGTAAATTTCCAGTTAAACTGACGCTTTTTGAAGACCCTTCTTTCTCTCTTTTTCTTTCTCTCTCGCCTGCCATTCACCGGTCTTGTGCAGAGTTTACCATGCTGCCGACAACTGCATGCACGTTGCGGTTCCTTGCCGGCAATTTAAAAACGTTATAATATTCTTTGTGTGGTTCATTGAAGGTGATAAATTATTTGAAAGTCCCGTGAGGTGCGGACAACTCTGCACAACATCATTGAAGATGGGGCTCGGTCTCTACAGCTAGTGTTCCTCTTCTGCCACTACAATTTTGGATTTATTCACGCACTTTAAAAACATTTATTGAAAGTTTTATTCTTTTTACATGTTTATTTACAGCATTAAACATTGAAATGTATATTGTAATAGGCTGTATATTAACTTATTGGGAGAAAACTGGTAGTTCTATGTAAAATCAGATGTTGAGCACCCCCATATCGCCAAAATGACATGATCCTTTCCCTGCGAAGGTTTGACTGTGAGATTGACAGTCGAATCAGGCTCCGCTCATTGAAGCATCGAACCTTCGACTATTTGGGTTCAGCCCTAAGTAAAATGAAATGTACACTGTAAAAATTCGTTCAGTGCTATTGTCCTTATAACTTAATTTTAAAAACTATATTTATTCCAATAAATTAACTTATTTTTCTTTCTTTGTTTTTTGAGTTTTCAAAAAGTAAAAAAGTGTGAATATTTTCGTAACTTAATATTTTCTATAATAAAATTAATTTAATTGGACTTCACCATAAATTGATTTTACAAAACTCATTTTAAAAGTTTATATCAGACGTATCCTTATGGACGTATCAGACGTAAAAAGACACGACCCGCCCACTACCTGCAGCAACAGAAGAACAAGCCCGGGCAAATCCTTCATCTCGTCTGTTCCAGAAGTTTATTCGAACGGGGTTTTCTACGGAGCCGGATAATACTTCACGTACCTCATGTAAGTAACTCTTTGTGTTGTTAAAAGTGAGATTTTACCCTAATTAACGTCTTTGTGCTGCACAATCGCTCTGTCGAAGAGCGCCAATTTCGAATGTGCTCTAACGTTAACGTTACCTCAAACAGTTTGTTAACTTGAGCCACTAACTGTATTAATCTAACGTTACGTGTGTGTGCGCGTTGTATAAGTAATGTTGACTTTGTGTGATAGTTTAATGTTTCAGAGGTGTTTGTAACTTCTTCAAAAACATTGAGTCCGCTGCCAACGCTGTCGAAGCTACGACAGACACACGTAGCCACAGCTAACGTTAGCTAAGTTAAGTGATTACTGATTATCGTCGGTTGGAGATGAATGTTAATGTGCCAGTGCAGCAGTTACTTTGGCGAGTACACAATCCACACAACCTAACCAAAACCACATTGATGAGGGAGCAAACATTTGCAACTATGAGTGTGGGCACTGTTAGCTAATGTGGATTAGCACATAGCCTGAAATACACCCACACCGCCCGCGGTTAACACACCTCAACGGTGGTGCTCAAGGTGCAGGCCCATTTCTCCTCATCCAGCGTGCTTTACACGTGTTTGTCTTAACAGGAAAACTTTGTATTTGACTGTGGCACATTCACACATCTCACACCAACACACTTTGCAGTCATTCCAGTTGTTCCACTAATATTTTGGCAAGAGAGGTTACAAGTATTTTAGGCTATCTAACCTAACAATCTAACAATTAGTCAATTGTGATGGTTAGACATGAGGTTGACATGATGTTTCAGATTATTTTCTAAAATAAATTCTGTTATGAACTAAAGTTACCCATTCTTGTCTTGTCCAGCAGGATAATCTTCATTTGTATTTTAAGTGAATTTTTTTATGGATTTTATCAGGCTTGTATTCAAAAGGCTAGATGGAACTAACTTTATTTATTTTTATTGACAGATGGGATGGCCCTGTAAATTGTGCAACACTGTGGTACCAGGAAAGAGTGACATTTTAAAGCATTATAGACTGCATCATGGGACTTTTGGACACAGCCATGCCTTGCCTTTTATTCATATAGATTGCCCATGTTCTTTTAAATCCTGGAGTTCCTTCCGCTCTCACCTCTCAAGATACCACCCAGAAGCTAAATCCTTCATCTCACCACAAGTAAGTCTTTCATTTACCTGCCCTTTGTGTCAAAACCCTGGATTTAACAACGAAAAGGATTTTTTTGAGCATATAGGTCACCATCTCAAGAATAACGAGACTGTTAAGTGTGTCTTCATAGGATGTGATCACCAAACAAATGTGTATGGGACGTTTGCAACACACAAACACAGAAAGCATACTCCACATACATCACAAGATTTCAAACCAGGGATTATTTGTGGGTTACCCGAGGAAGCACTTGATTTTGAAGCCTCTGAAGAGGATGAGGTCCACAATGATGCTAATCATGAAGGCAGTAGCACTAATGCACACTATGAAGAGGAAGATGGAAGCAGTGTAGTTGTAGAGTATATAGCATCCCTCTTGTTGAAATTAGAGTGTTCATAATGTTTCAGTTCGGTGCATTGATGAATTGGTTGATGATCTTCACTTCATAGCAAATTCTGCATGCATATCTTCAGTTAAAAGTATCATTGTTTCACATTTTAAGAAAAATAACCAAACCATTGATGACACTGTTGTTACATCTTTGGTGGAAGAATTGTGCAATTCCAATCCCCTAAGCTCAGCACTTAGTAGTGCTGGTCATCTATCCTCATCGTTCAAGAGACGGAAGTATTATACAGAAAAATTTGAAGTTGTTGAGTATGTCCTTGAACCAAATGAGAAGAGAAGTTTCCAGTATATTCCAATTCTTAAGTCTTTGATTAATATTTTGGGTAAAGAAGATCTTCGAGGAAAAAGTTCTGAGTAAAGAAAAGGACAAGCCATCTACTAAATATGAATCATATCAAGACGGTACAATCTATAAAGATAATTCTTTTTATTCTGAAGAACTAAGAATTACACTTGTACTGTACATTGATGACTTCGAAATTTGCAATCCACTGGGAACTTCAAGAAAGAAGCACAAGATTACAGCTGTATACTGGGTGTTTGGCAACATTCCACACTCAACTCGGTCAACTCTGAGCTCTGTGTACTTGGCCCTTTTATGTAAAGCAGTGGACATCAAAAGATTTAATATCATAACCACATAACTCTCGTTGAGCAACGATGCCTTACTGATGTATATCCTCTGTCTGCCTATATTGTTGCAGGAAAGCAAATGGTGATATTGAAGCGCCACATCTGTCTCCAACATAACTCTTCTTAGAAATGGAGCAAACTGTGAGATTCCGGGTCCTCATCGATCATGAAATCAAGACACTCACTCTCAGCAGTGGCATGCCCTCAACTGTGAATGAGTTGGTTGCAGCTGTCAAAGAACATTTTTCCATCCCCACAGATATAAGTCTTCAATACAAAGATGAGGAATTTGATGACTTCTTCACCCTAACATCTACCAATGAGCTGAAAGATAAGTGCACACTTAAAGTTGTGTATACACCGCTGGAGTTGACGCTGACCGTTGTTCCCCAGGAAAGCACCCCAGATGCCTCTGATGTCAGCTCTCTCTGTGAGTGTACGAGTCTCAGTGGGAACTCAGTGGATACCGTCATTCCGAGTCCATCCCCCTCTGAAAGGCAGAGCCCATGGCCTGCTGTGTTTCCAATTCCAACCTTCTCACACAACACTGAACTGGCCTTAAGACAAGGAAACGAGATTTATTTAAGAGATGGCACCCCTATGACATCACCAAGTATCAAATCAGACATCCTGGAGCGCCTGGCAGAGGCCATGTTTTTCTACACAGCTTACCCCAATGATGCCCAGAGATGTGCAGTGGCAGAGGCACTAGTTGCAAAGCATCCCTGCTTAAAGGAGCCCGGATCTTTTAATGGAATTTATGGGTGGCAGGTAAGCCTAAAGTATAAGTGTGGAAACTACCGGACAAAACGGAAAGCACTTGGAAGCACTGAACTCCTGATAAACTCACTGAGAAACAAGTCAAGTGATGAGCGAAAAGCTGCTAAAAATGTCAAAAAACCAAAGAGGGCAGAGGTGAATTACTTGCCCTCACACCCACATGGTGAAACAGATGACACCCTTGAGAATCTGAGACTTGACCTAATTGCTGCCCATCAGACAAAGGACTCTGTCAGGAGCACAAATGATATGATGGCCATAACATACAGCTGGAGAAGACAGGAAGTTATTACAAAGTCTCCTGGTGTGGCAGAATTCAAGGAAAGATGGCCTGCCCTCTTCGAACCATTCCAGGTAAGTGACTTATCATTCAGTTTTTGCTGACACTACTCACTTCTGAGAACTTTTTAGAAATTGTGACTTGGACATGAGATAGTAGATTAATCTTTAAACCCCCTTAAATAAGTCAAACATTTGCTGTCTTACAGGTAAACGAGGAGTTCCGAAGATGTACTGCGGTTTCCCTGGAAGCGACGTTTATGTCACAGCTGGACAAATACACCCCAAAGCTCCTAGAACTCTTTAGTGCCAAGGGAGGAGCAACTGGTCAACGCATCAAAAAGTTGTTGATGGATCTGATACAGGTAGGGAAAAATTGGTTACAAAGTTAAGGTACGATATTAATCAATTGAGTGGTTTTGTTTTTCAGTTTTTTCAGCATCTTGCTTATCTGGGTGGCTTTTGTTTTGTTGTTTTTTTTTTTTTTGTTAATTAGCCAGTTTTTTTCTAAATTGTCTCGTGTTATTACTATTAATATATTATAATGAATAAAAAAGAAAAAATAATAGACCTACAGTAATTACAGGGTTGGAGTGAATTTACCAACAAAAATAATTTATTCATTATTGTTCTATTAACTAGGACCCAAGTGCCACTACAGTGAAGAAGAGAGATGTCACTCTGAGATGCCTCTTTGAGTATATGGGAGAGAGTGGACAGGAGCTTATCTCGGATTACTGTGTAAGTATTGTCTCAAAGCAGGTTTGGGTCAGTCTGGTGAACATGTTTAAATTGTGCGGACTGTTAAAGGATAACTCTTGCCAAATTGCAATCTAGGCTATTTTTGCTAATCTACCAGAGTCATACTTTCTTGTAAAAGCATAATTAGAATGGAAATGCCACTTTTAAGATTGACCGTATTTTTGTTTTCAGGTCAAAATGCCTTTTGAATGGGTGTGCTAGGGGCACTACAATGATTGCATCAAAATCGCTAGTTTTAAAACACTAAAGCGGCTCTACACATGAACTTGAGCATTGACAACATTGTTTGTGTACACACAGTTTACTAAAAAGAAATGTTTTGTGCGACTCACATTATCAGTTAGTGTTTACGGTGGCTGGAATTTTGACAGTCAAAAGTATTCGATCTCCGAATGCAATGTAATGAACTACATATGAGGAAATGTCATGAACTTGTAATTCCAATAAAAAGCATGATAACTTAGCTCATGGCAATTTATATGGAAACAAACTTTAGGAGCTTTCCATCTTTACTCTCCTCATGTTGCATTGCATTTGGAGATTGACAAAATTCCAGCTACCAGAAACACAAACATGTATGTATGTATGATCTACAGGGTATTGCACCAATGTTGTCTTAACCTAGAAGTGTGTCTATAACAGCTTTTCAGAGGATTAACTAGCGCTTAAATAATATGAATCACTGACTTGTCCAGGCGACACATAAAACTAAACATCAGTTGTCTTAAGAGTTCCTCACAGGTTGGCACTCTAGTAGACACAAACAAATGACTGGCCCTATGTCACCTAGGCACACGAAACAGCAGCCGCCACTGATAAAGTGAGTCGTACAAAACCTTTCTATAAGGCGCACTTAAAAGCCTTTAATTTTCTAATCCGGAGCGCCTTACATATGAATCAATTGGTTAATAACGCTCTGCGTTATTAAATTCGCCCGTGAACTCGCGCTCGTGTCCATCTTATGCCCGCTCTGTCACACGGCCAGTTCAACCTCGTATAAATCAGGTTATGTGTGTAAGTCACGTGCCCGCTCACGACCGCTCACTCTTACTAACAGACACACTGTCCCCCGCGCTGCTCGCGCGTCACAGAATGTTCATAAAGCGCTCCCTGTTCACAGTAACCGGGTCGTCTCATTCAAACAGCCTGCTGTTGCTGTCAGCGAGCCGCCGCACATGAATACTCATGAGTCAGGCTGCGAATGCAAGTTACGTGCCCGCCCCCAGCGCCTCACCTCCGGCGCCGCGCATTCGCTACATTCCCTTTGGCACATCTAGGGGATGCATAACGCAAACCCAGTCAAACGTTTGACTGCAGTATCTTATGCGCCTTATAATCCGGTATGCCCTATATATGAAAAATGTTCTAAAATAGGTCATTCATTGAAGGTGCGTCTTATAGTGCGGATAATACGGTACACAATGTTGTCAATGCTCGAGTCCATGTGTAGAGCTCCTGGTGACACTTCAAGTACAGTTTCATGTTGTGTTGAGCCTTCTTAGTGTTTTAAAAATAGTGATTTTTATGCCATCATTGTAGTGCCCCTAGCACTCCCATTCAAAAGGCATTTCGACTTCATATGAAAAAAGTCAATCTTGAGAGTGGCATTTCCATTCTAATTATGCTTTTACAAGAAAGAATGACTCTGGTAGATTAACAAAAATAGCCTAGGTTAAATTTTGGCAAGCGTTTCCCTTTAATGTGAACTGAATGAACCAGCATTTGGCAGGTAGCGGATTATTTATGCATTTATTTATTTTTCTTAATAAATGAGATTGTTTGTCTTAAATACTTTATCTTGTATCTCAAAAGGGGGCCGCAGAGACCACTGTTCATGAGTGACCTGAAAATTAAGAACATGAGCATCTATGTCTGCCGTGAGCCAGATGCAGTAGGAATCATCATTGAGGGAATACCAGTCCTTACCAATCTTGGAAACCTGGCCAAAGCATGCTGCTTCCTGCTTGGGTTGACATATGCACTTAATCTTGAGTATCCATCCAAGCTTTCCAAAACATTTGAGGTGTTTCAAAGACTTTTCGTGGGACTTGACACACTGCGCCCAAAACCAAGCCCCAAGTTCATGACCCTGAAAAACAAACTCCTTGCCTAGGCACTCAGACATGACTGTCACTGCACTTGTGAACAGCTGTTTTCTTCTTTCTATTTTCAACATCATTATACATTGGACATTATGGGTGTTATGTCCAATGTTATATTGGACATAATTGGACATTCAGGGTGTTTTAATGGTTTATCCTTGTCATGTTTTATACTGTACACAGGTCATACTTCCTGGTGTGAAAAAGTAATTATATTTTATACACACAAAATAGACCTGCTATGAAGCTGCACTTTAAAAACTGGTCAGTAGGTGAGATCAGTGAGATGTTTGACTAAAGATGTTTCAAAATATTCACACACGCTGTGAAGGTATTATGCCAAGTTGAGGTCAGATGGTCATGCTTGTGACCTGTAATGTTAGTGTTAAAATGTTTCAATATTATGTTCACACTGTACTGTTAAAAGGATAGTTCACTTCAAAATGAAAATTCTGTCATCATTTACTCACCCTCAAGTTGTTTTAAACCTGTATGAATTTCTTTCCTCTACAGGACACAAGGAAGATGTTTGAAGAATGTCAGTAACCGAACAGTTAACTGGACCCATTGACTTCCATATTAGAAAAAAATAAAAAGACTATGGAAGAACATTCTTCAAAATATCTTCCTTGTGTTCAGCAGAAGAAAGAAATTCATACAGGTTTAAAACAACTTGAGGGTGAGTAAATGATGACAGAATTTTCATTTTGAAGTGAACTATCCTTTTAAGGTGTTTTACTAACTTACTATTTACAAGCTGAGGTCATATTTTGTTTAATACATGAATACAGAAGTTCTTGATTGTTTATACTGTCCAGCTCATTCCCACTATTTGGATATGGCATGTGAATTGTTAAAAAAATAGCAAGTGCCAGTTAACTTGATATTAAAGTTTTAATATTATGTATGTACACACAGTAAAATATACTGTGAAGGTGTTCTTCTAACCTGCACTTTATAAGTTGAGGTCATGCTTTTTTTTAATGCATGAATAGATGTTATTGATTGTTAACACTATCCAGCTCATTTTGAATTTGGTTTGTAAATTGTTACTTAATTTTGTAACATTATGTACACAGAACTGTACTGTAAAGGTGTTCCACTAACCTGCACTTTATTTGCTGAGGGCATGTTTTCTTGAATGCCTGAATACCAATGTTTATACTGTCCAGCTCATTGCTACTGTTTTGGATATGGCAATGATTTAATAAATGTTGGAAATTGACATAGTAGCAACTATTTATTTGAAGCTATTTACACTTTCAAAACAAAGAGGGTAAATTGATCAAAATTAATAAATCAGAACATTATCTACTTATTTTTTTCATTTAAGTTACCTATTTTAATTAAGTTTAATGTGTATAAAATGATGATATTTTCTACATTGATAGTACTCAATTTATTGGCTTTTTCTGAAAATGCTACTTAATATTTTTGCATACATTGAAATTCACATTATTAAGTTGTCTTTACTCAAAATATCAGTTAGTTCACTAAACTTGAAAAAAATAGTTGGAAAATGTTGTCTTAATTTTATTGAGTTAGATCCAAGTAACAGTTTTAACAGTGTACTACGGAAAACCAACTCGAATACCTCTTCCAGCAACTGACAGGTTTAAAGACATGAAAGGATAGGTTTGTGTTTTTTTGTAGTCTATCTCAAAACAATGTTAAAATATGATGTGCACAGTGAAAAGGTTATTGTTGGCTATTAGCATCCCCTTCATAGGCATGGCCAAATTGTTAGAAATTAGGGACAAATCCACTCTTCTCCTTTCATGAAAAATGTTTCCCAAACCTCCCAAGACCTGGGCTTTGATTCTGTGTGTATTTATAGTAGTAGCATTGTCTTTGAACAGGGCATACATTTAAAAAAAGAAAAGATTATGTGTACCCAATGTGTAACAAAGAAGAAACAGACATCAGAACATGGATGGCAAGTGACCCTAGAGGGAACAGGCATGTGCCCACTAATGAGCACAATAGGTCTAAGTTGAGCAGAATGAACATATGGTGCATGGATCTCAAAGCCTAAATTCCCCATATGAGAACAGAGGATTTTAGGAGGCTAAGTTTAGTTGAGGCTAAATAAGGCTTAATCAGTCTAGTTAAAAAAATTAAATGGATATTGTTGTTAGGTCCTTGTGTAGGTTTACTGTTGGAAGGAAGTATCCCACTGCTGCAGCTCAGCAAGTAAACACACAAAGAATGAGCAGGACACTTTACCCCTAGTTGCTCCAGTGGCGTGCGACCTCTGACATATATATGAGTTTATGGTCTCAGTCGCTAGTTTCAAGTGTTCTTCAACACAGCATGATGTCCATTTAGTAAATTATGGTCCCATTTAGAGAAAAGTAGACCAGAAAGCAGGGGAGGCTTTAGGGCGGGGCTACCTTGTGATTGACAAGTCGCTATGTGTGACCCAAATATGGTAGCCCATGGATGTTCAGTCTGTGTTCAGGACAGAGCTGAACACCTCTTTTCTCTCAGCTGGACAGGTATGCTGGAATAAAATACAGCAGCTTGTTACTTTCTATAAATTGAATATAAATTGAACAAAAAGACGTTCTGTTAGCTTGCTGCTCAGCTTCCAGTCTGAAGGGGAGACGTTTGAGAACAGACTTTTGTTGGTCTGGAGAAGCATTTATTACCTGACACACCGACACTGTACTTTTACTGCCAGGATATTTTCCTCCTCTGAGATTCACTGTCACTTTCTGTCACTAGGACAATGAAACACTGTGATCTCCAGATTAAAGGAGCTGCTCTGATAACAGCACCTGTCAGGTAGATGTCCTGTAGGGTTTCAGCGGGGTCTTAAAAAGTCTAAAATTTCAAAATCAAAATTTAAGTCTTAAAGTCATCATTAAATCATTTTAAATGGGTATTTATTTTCCAACGTCCATGTAACGCTACCTCTAATGCTCACTGAAATGGCCCTGCAGCGCTCAACAATGTTTTTGTTTTTTTTACTCCAAATGTAATTTGCTGTATTAGGAAGACAAAGACTAACAGGCAGCCTTCGTGTGATTGCCGCAAGTCTTTTGGATTGTACCACAGATATAAAACAGATTTATTCTTTAGCTATGGGGAAGTGCAACCTTATCGGTTTTTAGATGGGAAAACCAATCTGAGAGCTTAAAACCAGTCTCTAGCAACACATTTGAAGCCTACTGTCGCTGCTTAATGAATGACCGCCGCTATTACAATTTCACACAATCGTCAATGATTAAGGTATGGTAACACTCAATGCATAGCTGTCTTCCTCTCCTCATTCTTCAAAGGAGGAGCAGAAATCATGTACTGTGACATCAGTAAACCTCATGTAGCACATTCTATGATGCATCACACTTAAGGGAAAAGTTGCAAAATGGACAAAAACATCTACTGTCAATGAAAATCCCCATTTCATGCTTTAGCTGCACCCTAAGAAATATGAGGAAATAAAGTGAAATAAAGTAATCTGCAAACTACAAGGTGTAATCTTTAAAATATTTCAACTGATGAAAGCCAGCATTATTATATCATGATAAAAAGGCAAGGTCATGAAACATGCATGTATTTCCAGCATTTTGAGATTGATAGGATGCATTTTAACGGCTCTGATAGTTACAAATTGTCATATAGTATGTATGATGTAGCTGTAGGTGTAAGTGAACATTTCACCTTTTGAGTAATCACTGTAGAGGTCACATTACATACTCAACAAGACACAGCATGAATCATATTTGTCATCAAACAGTCTATGCATGGTTGGCTGACTGGCTACAACAAGCCCTGGAGGTGTGACAGGATGACGGTCATGAAGGTGACTCGTTGGACACGGTACATATCCTCACTTACCTCTATTAAAGGCGACACTAACAAGCTAGACAGTGTTTGTTTTCTAATCAAAACTGAAAACCTCTGTCCCAAGAAACACGTGCTGTAGCTACTTAGCGCACTGAAGAGATGAGGCATCATTTTATGAGTAAAAAAATACCAAACAGAGATTTGTAAAATAAATTGTACAAATTGCAGAAAATAACTAACCAATATGTAATAGTATATTTGCTACAAACTTGCATGTTGTCTTAAAAACAGTTTTAGCTTTTATTGCTGCAAAATTGTTGCGCAAAGGGATTTTTAAAAGTGCTATAAGGAACGTTTATCGTAACCTGGAATATGCAGTATCCTGTATCAAAGTTTGATGGCATTAACGCTATACAGTTTTGTTGCAGTACTGGTTGTGTGAAAACCAATGAGGAACCTCATTAAAATGAGTGAGCAGGCATCTGTGCTCATTGATCCTACTGCTCGGCTTAGCGTTGCCACCTTGGTGATGTAATTCTGGCAGATGATGTGCTCTTCAGGGATGATGTGAAGAGTTGATCCCATTTGATCTGAGCACCACTGTCAGGCTTGCTGAAGCAGCTTTTGAAGCAAATATTTTCTTTTGAATAAGGGAAAGACACATTGAATCCATGTTTGGTAGTAAACAAATAACATATCATTCATGTTTACATGCCACGCTTCAATGCATAATGCATGTTAGACACATGCTGCACAAATTTAACATGAAACGTGTTATTTGTGTAGCATGTGAGTTACCTATGCCTAAGGTTTTCTTCTCTCCTTTTTAACCCTTATTATCTGGGAAAGTCATTGGTGGTAATGAGGGAGGAGAAACAACTTTCCTCTTGTCTTTTCTCGATGCTAATTTAAGATCTTAAAATTCTCTTTTTTTCCTCCCACTCCACTGACCTTTATTTGTCTGAAGGTTGTTGTTGAGATCCAAAAGAAAACTTGATTGCCATATAAATGCGCCTGCACAATTTTAGAAATGTGTCTTAGTGATCAAATTCAAGCCTAAACTCAGCTATGAGCACAGCAAAAGAACTCCTCCTTTTCTTGTGTCTCTACTGTTATTATCAAACTGGACAGCATCATTTGCATTTATTCTTTAGTTTATTATTTCCTAAATGGGGGGTGGTGGTGGTGGTGGTGGTGGGGAGGGGTGGGTTAGGAGAAACAGGTCAGGATTCAGTAATCTCCAAATAGGAAGATGGTTTATTTCTGATGAGCAGAAACATTTTCCACTGGGCTTGTTCAACTCACTGTTGTCAGCATCACCAGTGATTTTCAGCTTACACAAATCTTCTGTTAAATGATCCCACCCTTGCCCCTGTTTCCTGTTGCTACAACACTACAACATCCAGGGATGTTTTCCAGAAAGTGGGTTTAGTAATAACTCTGAGTTAATAGTTAACCTTGAGATGATGGAAACTCTGGGTTTTCAGTTTCAGAAAGGGGGGTAACTTAAACTTTTTTTTGTCTTTTGTTTGTTTTGTTTTGTTGTATTTTTTGCTGTTTGAATAAGTACATAATCGAGGTTAAATAAATAAATACTTGTCAGTGGTCACTTTAATAGTGTATATAGAAAAATATGTGTGTATGTGTATATATGTATGTATATATGTATGTGCATGGAGAGAGAGGAGAGAGGTGTGTATATATCTATATATATAGATATAGATATATAACAACATTAATAATAAATATAAATATTGTAAATTGAAGGAATGTAAGAATTAAAGGGGTAGGAGTACATAAGTTTTACTTCTTCCTACTCCTTTTCGCATGTGATAGAAGTATGCTAACACAGGACAGAAGGGTATTTTGTTTGCTGCTCATCTGTTCTTTTTTTCTCCTATGTTTTTAAACATTGTTTTATTTATTTTTTTTAATATACTTTCTCTTGCATGTTCGAAATAAAGATTTCAATTCAATAAAAAAAAAAAACTGTGAACCTCTTTTCAATAAACCCTGTGTCTCCGTCTCCTCCCTCTGACAGAGCCAGACACAGTTTAATTTCCTCATTGATTCAGTATGTATCAAAGCGCAATAGTTAACAAAGATTTATTTTATGTCAGAAACTAAATCCTGGTTGGATATTAGTTTGTTACTCAGGACTATCTAAACTTACCACTTTTATGTGCTGTCAATTCTTTAAACAGCGGTTTTTGGCCTCTCATTTAAATATTTCACAGCTTGACAGCTCAGAATAAAACTGCATGTCCTTTTTTAATAACACTGACTGACTCTGCACACAATATAGCTGCCAGTTTTCAGAGCTGTTCCAGTGAAATGTTTATTGTACATATTGTGTGATCTCAGTTTAAATTGTAAAAATAGGTATGTAGCTTTACAGACAGATCAATGGATAACTAGTTATAAAGTGAGTTTAAATAGGCTGCATGTAGGACTATACGCAGTATTAAAAAAAAACCTTTACTTTCTAACTACATTCTGCTGCTGCACCACAATCCTGGTCACACAAATGAACATATAATCTAATAGTAAGTAATTCTGTTCCATCAGCGCGGCCAATCACAGCTTTTGAGCCATCCAAATACATGCCTAAAATTTTAGATCTGCTGTATTTTAACCTCGAGGTCTTTTCAAGTGTAAATCACCAAACATGTCATTACTTTATCAGATTGTGAGTTTACAATATATATATAGTTAAAAATGTTTTTATCTTCAGTTGCTGTCAGATAAAAGCTGAACAAATATATTTAAAAATGTTATACAGGCTAATATATAGTCAGATTCCACCACTTTATTAAATGTCTGGTAAATGATGCAGTAATGGACAACACTGAATAAAACTTTGTGTTAACTTATTGACACACCTTTCCCCATTCTGACTCTTCTTCTTCTCTTCTTTTAGAGATAAATGTGCACAGCCTGCATATACATGCATTAATATCTGTACATCCACTGGATTAAAATGGAGACTCTGCTTTTTATCTGTTGCCGTGGTTAATCATAGAATCAGCACTCCATTGATGATGACTTTTGTCATTTACCAAGAATGGGTTCATCAACTCAGAGTTCAGGGTTGGAGTCAGAGTTATTAAACCTGCTTTCTGGAATACACTACAGAAAGCAACTGTTAAACTCTCCCACTGCTGGTTATGATGTGCATGTGACTCACGATGGCTTCTGTTCTTCTTGTATCACATCTGGTCTGATTGAGGGAAGAGCCAGTAAAGAGGGCTTGGGATGTTTTGCCTCTTGCCCACCTTCTAGCCATGGATGCAGCAGGTTGTTTGTGACCTGTTGTTTTTGGCTTTATTTGTTTGTTTAGGTTTAGTTTAAGGTTGGTAGAGGGAAGACTCCAGAATGCAGCCATTAATAACATTATCAAGTACACCTGTGCTTCTCCTGCTTTGACAAAAAGGCACACAAAAGTTAAACTTTACATTTATGGTTAAAATACTTTTGGCAATTTACTTGAAACCAGTTTTAATACAACACTTTCATTAGTCTATTAAATATATTATCATTGATAAATTATGTTGGAAGGTATTTTTGTACACCACAAAAGGAGATAACATAGCTCCTAAAATAATCCAGTATGAAGATATATTTTTCTAAATGAAATGACATCACTTGATGTCACCAAAAACACATATTTCAGACGTTGTAGTGTCTAATCTAGTTGATTCGTTATAAATCCATCAAATGAGAAATAAGCTGTTGTTCCAACGTGTGAAACTGTGCATCAGGCAAAAGATACCTCTGGATGATATCTATTACGTCTTTCTCAGTTGTAAGCTCATAGTCCTTCTTGTTCTTAAATGGTAAATGTCCAGCCAGCTCACAGAGAGCAACATTGAAGGCAGACTCCTCCTTGGCCCCGAAGCATGATACTCTGGGCCACAAAACGATACGAACACCTTTTCTTGAACAGCGATCCTCTTCTTTCTGCATGTGATCACAGGGTGGACATCCTCTAGTCAAGAACAGGTTGTGAGCAATGTTACACTCCACAAGAAAGTCTGTCACTTTACAGATGGCTCTGGCAACTTTCTCCACCCACTCTGACTCTGTGTAAAACAAAAAGCCACCAGGAAAGTCCAATAAGCAATAAAACCCCTCTGCAGGAATCAGCGGCTTGACTGCCATAGATTCTACCTTGAGCTCATGGTCCAGGTAATACCCATGTAGGTGCAAATGATTGACAGACGCAAATGCTCCAAGACTGTTGAACCCCACACGGAAGCCAGCATCGGCACTAAGGAGCACAGATTCAATGCCAGCCTGGATGGCGAACCTCGTAAGGACCTGTGGGAAACAGCGTGAGGGATCTGGAACAAAGAGACAATGCCCAAACTCCAAAGGGCTGACGTTAACCAGCACAACCATCCTGCATTGTTGATGCAGCTGTCCCTTTTCATTTACCCCCTCAGTGTCCTTTACCATCTCACATATTATTTCTTCTGGATTGATTTTGTTAAAATTAAACTGCTTGGCACTGAACTCCTGCTGAATGCTCAGTATCTCCTGAGGCTTTCTTCTCTCTATTCCTCTTTGAACATTCAGCTGGGCCACATAGCCACACAGGCCCGGCAGGATGCGTGTTTGTAAATCACCCAGATGGTAGCGAAAGAGTCCCCTGTTCATCCTGTCTGTCCAGCCGGCTTGGATGGTTCTGTCAAACTTTGTTGGCGGAGATGCCATCCCAAGGCTGTTTCCGCTGCTCCGACGCACACCTTTGACAAAGTCCTCCTTGCTATAGACAAACTGGAGCGGCATGCTTGGATCTTGGCGAACAGCGAGGCAGAGAGGCATGCCAATAAGGTTCACTATGGTAGGTCAGTTAGGTATCATCCTGCTGAATCATCGGACAGAGAGCCCGGTTGTATATGGGGCCTGTGGACATAGGGTTGCAAATAACAATGATGTATTAGTCTGCCCATAATTCTATTGATAAGTCAATTAATTGTATAGTCAATAAAATGCTTGTTTGGCCAATGGGACAAAACCAAAACCCAGAATAGTAAGGACAACTATCATAGAAGAAAATAAAGCCATAAAACAATCACATTTGACTAGCTGGAAACAGTGAAAATGTGGCCTTTCTGCTTAAACTATTAACTGATTATTTACATTGTGGCCAGTTAATTTTCTCAGTACAACTGACTGGCTGACATATTTAAGTTCAGCTAAGTTCATTTAGTGTAACGTTACAGAAAGAATCCGCTCTAAAATCAGAACTATAACATTAGTAGAGGGCAGAAAAACAGAGTAAGCCACAGTCTAAACCTGGGATACCAAGACACAACATGCAAATTATTGTTTCTTTTTTTGCACTCATCGTGCTTGTTTCGTTGATGGTTTGCCCAGGACACAAGCACGAGTTGATTTGGTTTGACAGTAATACACTCACCTTTATTTATGTTGACTGTACATCACCGCGTCAAAGTCAGCGTCTTGAAATAAACAGCCTATTAAACGTCTTTAAAAAGGCAACACGAACTCTTATTCACCTTCGCATATTTTCTTTTTATCCGGTTTTTCCCTCTAGCACCGGTTTGTTTGCCGGGCTAGCTAACTTCCTGAGTGTTCTTCTTTGTTGGTGTATATCCGGTTAATTTTTTCAGAATAAATGTTTAGAATAAAATCATTTATTGTATGAGCTCCGGAGTTAACTTAATAATTAATTAATAATTTACATGGTTGTATTTACGCATTTATCTACACTTTGATTATGGTTATGATTGTGGTAGTAGAGATTGCAGTAAAGTTATTCCTTACAAACACATAATCAATTTACAAATAGGAGGCATGTAGGCTATAGTTACAACATATTGGCAAACAAGGCACTGTTACATCCTGTACATTTTGCTGAAGACGGATCCATGCAGATTCCATGCATGTATACTTATAAAAGTGTTTTGTAACCATCACCAACCCATAATATTATTGTACTGGCTGACCATTTGCTCAGGAATCTCTTGTTAACTTAATATGTGCCCATAACCCAACCAACCCCCAGTTAACACACACACACACACACACAAAAGGTATTTGCTAAAGCCATATGGTAAACCCCCTTGTAACTGAAATAGTATGTGCGCAATATTTTACTGTTGAGCAACTTTCCAGTTTTTCCTAGCTGAGCCATGTAGGCTCAACTAACTTTGAAAGAATGAGTAGCTGGCCAATCAGGCATCATGGTTATTTTAGTCACTGCATGCTTTTGGAGATAAAGCAGGCAGTGATTGGCACAGCTGTGAAGTCTGCCACAGAGTTTTTGGACTCACCACAGTTGATGCATCTCGACCAACCGATAAACTGAACTAGATGAACATTTAATTTCTCATATTTCAGTAAGGACTCGTAAGAGAAAGTATGGAAGCTAACAACAACGGAGTAAGTGCAGTTGTGTTTGTAAATGTAATACTTTGTAAGCAATAATATCTATCTATAAAAGTTGTTGATATACAGTGCAAAAAAAATTAGGGCACCAAATAATTATTTTTGATTAATGATTTTCATTTCTTGTGTTTCTTACTAAAGTGAAATGGTTTATGAGAGCTTTAAGAGTAATATAATAACAGAGCTGTGTTTGTTTGGTTGAACAGATGGCAGTCTGGTCAGCCATGCCTCTAGTTATTTTAAACACCATCAAGAGTTTCTATTCCCAATCACACTTCAAGATAACCTACATGCAAAATCCTGTCGTGATTGAATTTGTATAGCAATTTTAATATGGCCATACAGTTACAGACTACTTTGTGTCTTTAATTTCCTTTCCTCTGACCGTTTTGTACTATTTTTTTTGTAGACGGGAAAGAAAGCAGAGGATCAAGCCCACACTCTAAATATAAATAGGACACCAGATACGGATGCAGACCTCACAGCAAAGGATTCCCAGCCACCCTTCAAAGCCATTGTCCAAGGTATGCCATGCATTCAGCCTATCATTGTGTAGTGTAGATTGTGATTATTAATTCAATCCTTTTCAATTTAAATTAACACATGTAAAAGTTATAAAAATAAAAGATAATTCCCATAAACATACATGTATGGAAAAAATGGTAAAATACTCCAACGAAGGTTAAAATCAAGGGCAACTGGACTTGGTTGAATACTTGGTAAAATACTCATAATTAACAAAATAATCTCAATTAAAATATTGTTAACTGTGCAGAGCTTTCAGCTGCTCCTGATCGTTATTACTGTGAGATACTAGCTAGAAATACTCAGTCTAGTTATTATGTAGACCTTTGTGCTTGGAAACATTTGTTACATATTCTGTTACCAAAGGTCTAGAATAAATTGTGTGCTAAGATAGGCCTATATTAAATGTAGTTGTAAATGGGCATACATACACATTTATACTTTTCTGGTCTACCGACCACTCAACACACTTTTTACTGTACACCAAAATGAACAAACCCAAGAACAGTTTCTACCCACAGGCCATCACTCTGATGAACAGCTGACTTCTGACTCACCGTGTCAAGAACCATTCCTGTACAATAACCCAGTAACTCTGTCTCTAATCAGCCACCTGTTTACTGGTTACTACTATTATTTATTTGTCATTCTGTAATTCAGTGCTGTTCATACCATTCATATTGTATATATCATAACCACCTACCTCAAGTACATAACACCTGCACATAATACATTTATTCCAGCATCCTTTGCATGCTATGCTCCATTGCACTGCGTACATGTGTATTCATGCATGTATGTGTATATCACATCCTCCAACATGTACATAATAATAACAATAATAATGATAATGATGATAGTGTGTATATGTGTTGTGTACTGTCTGTCTGATTTTATCATTGTATGAGTAAACACATTGTGAGCAATGTACGATCCAGAGTAAAATTCCTCATATGTGTACACATTCCTGGCAAATAAAGTGGATTCTGATTATTACATTCCCCATTCACACACACATTCTGATGACTGGACTGGCGGGAGCCCAGAATCCCCACTTTACCGGTTTACCACCTGAGCCACAGCCATCCCTTATAACAGTCTCAAAACATTATTAATACATGTCCTATCTTTTCATGACTTCCTCAATATACACAATGTCATAATATGTTTTTTCCCCGAGAAGCCATATTTTCATAATACATAAATAACAACACATGCAAACCAAATTAAATAATTTCTTCAATGAGTCAGATTAAAAGACCTATAGATTGATTTTATTTATCAAGTACAATATAAATCTTGGGTCTGACTCTGCATAGTGATTCCATCTAATGTTATTCTTGTTTGATGCTTTTCTTTCCTCACACCAGGTCAGCCTGCCACTTCTGCGGAGAACGGAGAAAACAACCCTAGGGTCCAACCTGGCCCTGTAGCAGATAAGGAAAATGCTATTAAGCCAAAACTCCAGATCACCTTTAGCACATTTACTGTTAAGAATGGTGAAGATCTGAAAGTAGAGATCCCAGTGGTTGGGGACCCAGCACCAAAGATTGAATGGAGAAAAGATGGTCAGGCAGTCAAAGAGACATCGAGGCTAGAGGTTTTAAATACATCGTCATTAACAGTTCTTCATATCAGACATGCTGCCAGGGAGCACTCTGGTCAATACGCTATCATAGCAAGCAACAGTGCTGGAAAATATACAGGAGAAATCACTGTGGTTGTTCTTGAGAAGCCGGACCCACCCACCGGGCCTGTGAGGATTGATGAGGTCAGTTCTGACTATGTTACCATTTCCTGGGAGCCACCAGACTACACAGGAGGCTGTCAGCTAGACAACTACATAGTGGAGAAACGAGAAACTACAAGTACAGAATGGCAGACTGTGTCAGCAACGACAGTAAGAACCACAATCAAAGTCACCAAACTGAAGACAGGAAGTGAATACCAATTCAGAGTGTTTGCAGAAAATAGGTATGGAAAGAGTACTGCAATCACCTCTCCTATTGTAACTGCACAATATCCTTTTAGTGTGCCAATTGCTCCTGGCACTCCCTTTGCATCCACAGTGACAAAGTACAGCATGGTGGTTGAATGGGAGCCTCCAGCCAAAGACGGAGGCAGCCCTATCGTTGGCTATCACCTTGAACGCAAGGAAAAGAACAGCATTTTATGGACCAAGCTGAACAAACTTGTTATACCTGATGCCCGCTTCAAAACAAGTGGACTAGTGGAAGGCATTGAATATGAATTCCGAGTCTTTGCTGAGAATATTGCTGGACTCAGCCCATCTAGCAAGATCTCTGAATCATATGTGGCAAGAGACCCCTGTGATCCACCTGGTAAACCTGAAGCTGTTGTCATTACTAGAGAGAACATCACACTTCAGTGGGCAAAACCCAGGTTTGATGGTGGAAGCACCATTACGGGCTACGTTGTTGAAAAGAAGGAGCTCCCGGATGGCAGATGGATGAAGGCAAACTTCACCAATGTTATTGAGAATCAGTTCACAGTCACAGGTCTGACCGGAGGCCAAACTTACGAGTTTAGAGTAACTGCTAAGAATGGTGCTGGTGTTTGGAGCACACCTTCAGAAAGTGTAACCATCATCGCTCAGGATGTTATTGAAGGACCCACAGCATTCATTGATCCTAAGTACAAGAGTACTACTGTTGTTCAGGCTGGTGAGACATTCGTTATTGATGCAGATTTCTTTGGGAAGCCCCTCCCAGAAGTAACATGGCTGAAGGATGGAAAAGAAATTGACAAAGCTACCCAGAGAATGGAGGTCAAAAACACCCTCACTCACACAACTCTGACAGTCAGGGACTGTATACGAGTGGATGGGGGACACTTTGTCTTGAGCCTCAGCAACATTGGCGGAACTACATCTATCCCAGTTCATGTGAAGGTCCTGGATAGACCTGGTCCTCCAGATGGACCTCTGAAGTTGAAAGTTGTCAGTGCAGAAAAATGTAATCTTCACTGGAACCCCCCTGTAAACGATGGCGGTGCCAGTGTTTCCCACTACATCATTGAAAAAAGAGAGACCAGTCGTGTTACATGGACTGGGGTTGATCCTCAAGTTGAAGCTGTCAGTTACAAAGTGACAAAACTGGTACCAGGTAAAGAATACATATTCAGGATTGCTGCCGTGAATACATTTGGTGTTGGTGAATTTCTGGAATCAGATCCCTTCATTGCACAAAACCCTTTTACGACACCAAGTGCACCATCTACCCCTACAGTCAGCACTGTGACTGGTGACTCTATAGTGCTAACATGGGAAAGGCCTGAGACTGATGGAGGCTCAGAGATTGATGGCTACATCCTGGAGAAACGTGACAAAGAGGGTGTCAGGTGGACTAAATGCAACAAGAGAAGACTAAATGACTTGCGTTTCAGATGCACAGGTCTCGCTGAGGGACATTACTATCAGTTTAGAGTATTGGCAGAGAATGCTGCCGGTGTGGGTGCACCCAGTGAGCCAAGTGAGTACATAAAAGTATGTGAAGCTACTTACCCACCTGGTCCTCCTACCAACCCCAAAGTGACAGATTATTCCAGCAGTACTATATCTCTGACCTGGTCAAAGCCCATTTATGATGGTGGAGCAGCCATCAGTGGATTTGCAGTTGAGATGAAAGAAGCAGCAGAAGATGAATGGATCACATG